ACACACACACACACACACACACACACACACACACACACACACACACAGAGCATGATTAAATGCAGACTTTTCCAACCCAGTGTGCTCCAGAAATGTTCAGCCACAATTTCTATCATCATTGCATAATAGTTCAGCATATGTGAAACACACTAAGTTTGGGAAGGCTGCATAATAGAAGGCACACTGGAAATCCAACCTCAGTTCAGAAAATTGGTAATGAAACATGCACAAATTAGTTTGTAGGTGATGTAGAATTAATGTTGTCTTTCATGCTTTAATTTCATGCGTGAATTCTGCAGTGTTTTTGTGTAACTGAGTCAGATTTTCTTAACCATTTTAGAGGAGGATTTTTTTTATCAATGACATTTCAATAGATCATAAACTTTTTGGCCAAACCTTTGTGATAACAAGAGAAGGATATTTTCTCCTCTAAGGAAAAGGAATGGTTTGAACTCATGGTACCATGTAAGTCCTAGAGCTGGTTGTCCTTCAACCTCATTAATTAAAAGACACAATATTTTATTAGTATTTAACTTAGATGAATTCTGCAAAAGCAATAGTGAAATCTACAACCCAGGGCACCACAGTGCCATGCATGTTAACCCCAAATCAAACCCAGCTGTAGTCAGTTTACAACCTTATACCTTGTTAAAACTTTGTACCTTGTTAAAAGCTGCAGGGTAATTAAACCAATCATTTTAGTTCAATAAGAATGAACTTATTGTTTGATCTGTTATATCTCATATCGTTTTGTGTTTGCTAGTTTTTAAGATGGGGCAAGGTATCCCAAATATCTACAAGGCACCTGCTTTGGTCTTGATAACTCTACTCTTGATCTGCTCCAAATTTATAACTAACACAGTTTTCCTCTATCTAGTCTTCCAGATTTATTGGACTTCAGTTCTTTGGATATGCTGAAGTCCAGCCTATGTGGAAGAAAGTAGGTTGAAGAAAGCTGCAGTCGCTGAATATTTCAAGGCAGGGAAGAAATAAACAATGTCTTTCCTGTTGTCTTCCTTGTAGCTGATGGTTTTCTTTTTTTCTTTTTTTTCTTGCTCTCTCTTTTTCACTCTTCACCCCAACTAGCAGAGAGAATTCAACAGCATGCAAGACCGGGTGATGCTTTTAGCAGACAGCTCTGAAGATGAATTTTGAATTGGGCTGCAAAGCTACATCATGTTTTCCAGTGACTTACTTTGTTTGCAAAGGGAGGTTTGCAAGTAAAAAAAAAAAGTCTTTCTGCTGCATCCCAGCAGCCTGCCCCTGTTGTGCGTTCACATGGCAGTGTTGCTTTACACAACCAGTCCCCAAAAGGAGAAACACACACAGCCAAACACATCCCACTCACAGCATGTTGCAGCCTCTTTTTTAAAAAAAACAACCCATGCATTAGTGCAACTTCATTTCCATTGCACTGCATGTTCTTAAGGATGAAACTAACAATGACTCCACTAAGAGGGGGAGGGGGGACAAGACAGGCTGAATGACAATAATGGTCCTAAGGTTTTAATTTTCGTTTTGATGCTAGCAATCAAAATGTCATCCTTTTCCATCTTGTCTTGGGGAGGATGATTTTTAACCCAAATAATGCCTGTCAATCTCCCACTAGGGAGCCTCTTCTAAGATGTGGAATTTCCTGAGCTGAAGTTCATGGTTTTGAAAATAATTGGCTCTGTTTAATTAACAAAGGGGTCATCTAGAAGCAGTCCACCTCATAAACAGGATAGTAACTATGTAGGTAGAGTACAATGAACAAGCACGTCATGTATATATAGTGTATTATGCTTAGGGCCAAGCTAGATAGATACATATCCAAGAGACCTGTGCTTTGTTTTTGTTCATTGTGAAACAAATGGGAGTGGAAGAACAGTAGGGAGGGGGTGGGAGAGTGCTTTCATCAGCTCAGTGGGGGACCCATAAAGATCAAAGTACTAAGCAATTGTCACATATGCATGGCATACTTCACATGACTATTTACTCAGCTCCCACAGATAAAAACCTCTCTACTGTTCCCAAAGTGATATGGAAGTGGTCCGTGTACATTTGATCTGTGAGAGATCATTACTTGGTGCTGTAGTCATCAAATGATGGCAATGAACCAGTGGTAAATGCATGATAGTGGTGCCCAAATTCCTGATACCTTGAGGCAAAGCACTTTTTGATCTGGGTTAAAGTTTAGCGTACATTTTTTTTATGCACTCAGACAAACACCAAGAGCTCCGAGCATGTTCTTTTGCAGCTGCTTGGGTATTGAGCAACGTTATCAGCCCTATTTATTTATTTGGAAAATTTATATAGCTGCGTGGAGTCACCTGTGAGCAAGTAGGTGGCAGTATAAATATTCCAAATAAATAAATAAATAGGGCTGACAGTTCCGTATACATCTTTGCATCCATAAAGCACCCTGCCCCATTTCACTTCCTTTTAATTTAGCGATTCCAGTGAAAGCTTGCATTCTGTGGAACCACCTTCTAACATTCTATTATTTTTTTTACAAAAATATCTCTAGATTCAATAGACATTTCATATCTTTTCTTGGAAAATAAACATGGTGGCCACATGTAGTTATTTTTTTCTGCAAAATGTAGGGGAAAAAAGGTCCAATTGGGCACCACTTTTTGTGGAGCATAAGAACTATCCTCATTGGCCATGTCCACAGCAGAAGCTGTTTTGAAAATAGGTGAGCCTTTAGAAACGATTTCAAGGGAGCTCCCTCCAAGATGTTCAAAATTCCAAATATCAAACTAGCCAATGCATTACCTAACACAGTCTGATTTACCGGATTCTCTCCCATTGAGTTAGACAATCATTCCCATTTTTCCCAGTTAATGGGGATGATGGAAATATTTCTATACAATATGGAGAGAGTTAGAGGTGGGGAAGGCTGGACTGTTCAACTTCCTTGGGAATAAAAATGTGCTTCGAACTTCGAGCTTTTGCCACACCAGTTAAATAAATTAGTAAGAGCTCTTGTCTTGCTTTTCATAAAAAGACAAGAGACATTTATTAAGCTAGACTTTCGGTTACTTCTCCCAATTATTATCCACCTGGAGCCATTACAACTGTTAGGGGTTTCAGGAAGAGGTCACACTCAAAAATATTGGCTAAAGCCAGAAATTGGGAATTTCTGTGGACCAAACAAACAAACGTTCTGGCCTTTTCTTTTTTTCAGAAGAAAGAGAGGATGAAGTGAAAGCTATAACAAGAAATCTTTAGCTTTATTAACAATTAAGTGATTACCGTTTCTGATATACTATAACTTAATTTTACCAAAATGCTTTGCCTCTTTGGCTCACATGTTTTAGGAATCATTGTCTCATCAGTTTACCTGATGGAAGTATGTATAAATATATCCTCTGTGTAGGGTTTCAATTTGGAGGATATGTTTTATTTTGTTTAATGACCCTCCTTAGGGTTATGTGAAGGTGAGAAAAAAGGAGGGCAGTTCTGGTCAATAACTTCAGAGTAGCAGTACACCACAAAGTAAATAGTAAGTAAGCAGGAAAGAAGTACGAAAGCAGCTGAAATGTGTCTAGTTACAGGCTTCTAGTCCATGGAGAGCAATTTGTTGTCTTAAGGATATTAAACATTATTTTTGTAGAACGAACACACACACACACACACACACACACACTATAAATAAGCAATGTCTTAGTAAGAGTGGCTTCCTAGCATAGCATCCCAAGATTGCAGACAAGAGGGCCCAAGACTTCCAGCCAATTGTAAACAAAGCAATATGGCTGCAAGGAACAGCAAACTGGGATCATGGATGGCCAAACCAGAAGCTCCCAAGACCAAAGACTTCCAAAAAGTGCTAGAATGTGATGTGTAGCACATCATATGTTGGGTTGCCTTTTTTTGATCTGGCAAGGGCTGAAGGCCATGCATGCACCCAGTGATAGCGTGAAGTTGAGATGACAGAGATGACAAAGACGATTCAGAAGCAACGGAATGGACTGAGCTTCTCTAGAATAAAGATGAAAGATCATATTTTGGATGCTTCCAATCCCCCCTCCCCCCAATTCTAATAAAACCATAAATTGGCTGAATCAAAACTTTTATCCCCAATATGTCAAGAATGTCAATAAAATAAAATAGAGATACTCTTTCCCTCCTCCTCTCCATGCCTGCCAGTTCAGCAGTATGGAACAGCAAAGCCTGTTCTGTATCTTCTAGTGCATGTTCTCCTCCCACCCAGTGGCTCACTACAACATATTCAAAGCAGCCAGTCCAAGCAAAGCAATCCTCCTGCTACCCCTTGCAATTTCTCCAATGGCTCTTCTTGCTGGATTAGACATGGCAGGCCCCAAATATCATAGGCTAGAGCTGTGATGGTGAACACATGGCACACATGCCACAGGTGGCACGCAGAGCCATTTATGTGGGCACTTGAGCCCCAGCCAAACTTACCTGCACTGCACATGCGTGTGACTCCCAATGGATTTTTGGCCCATATGAGGCTGTTTACGCCCTCCTGGAGGCTCGAGGGAAGCCTCTGCAGCCTTGGGAGGCCGAAAAATGGACCTGTTTTGCCCAGAAAATCAGCTGGGAGGCGCGCACATGTGCAGTGCAGGTTAGGGGGTGGTGTGGATTGCATTGTGGGTGCCAGCATGCGTGCTTTTGGCACACCACAACAAAAAGGTTCACCATCACTGGGCTAGAGCTTGGGACTCATCCCTCTCTTCCTGATTCATTCCCAGAAGGGACAGAATGACTCAAAATTCCAATAGGAATGGAAGTGATGCTTGATGCCAAGTGTAAGAATTTGGATGTTTAACTCAGCTTTGATTGCTTTAGCCAGCAAGAGGTCCCTTGTGGGATGAGACCTTTCCTTCTTAGGCCCTTAACTAGAGCCCAAGGATAGGCGGGGCCCTAGTGAAGGCAGGGGTAGAAACTGAGCCCCATTGCATGCCAGGTAATTCCTCTTCCATGGGGGTTCAGTCTTCTTGCATCTCAGAGCACACAAAACGGGCTAAAACTGGAATTGTTTCTGATTTTGGGAAAGATACCTCTACAGATTTCAGGGCTAGAAGAGAAATATTTTGAGTTGTTTTGTTAGCATTCTAACCTGTGTGGAACTGGATTCTAAAAAAAGCAACTAGGAAGAGGAACATAGTACAAAGTAGGTAGACTAGGGGTCCCCAAGCTTGGTGGCTTTAAGACTTGTGGACTTCAACTCCTAGAATTCTCCAGCCAGCATATCTGGCTGGAGAATTCTGGGAATTGAAGTCCACAAATCCTAAAGTCGCCAACTTTGGGGACCTCTGAGATAGAGGGTAGAGCTTGAGCAGAGGTAGATCTCTGGACTCCATATTCTGCCATCTAGCTATAGACCAGCCTTCCACAATCTGGAACCCTCTGGATGTGTAAATATGTTGGTTGAGGTGAGGAGTGGTTGTCCAAAATCTGAGTTGTCCAGTGGAAGCCATAGTGATGTCATGATATGCCTAAACAGTTGGAGTGTACCAGGTTGATGAATGCTGCTTAGGGCCTTTGGTGAATCACTTTGGTCAATCCAATACTTCTTCCTTTGGGTAGGAATAAAAGACCTACCTCACAGGGTTGTTGTGAGGGCAAGCCAATAAAGTTTTGAAGCACTTGGCCATTAAATGTGTCCTGTCAGAAATATGTGCACATAAAGAAAACAAAATAATGTTGCTTGTAAAAAAAACGTAAGTTTGGTTTAAAAAAACACAGTTGTAACCCATCCAGCAGCCATGTGGGCATAAAAGATTAGCAGCAGATAAAAAATGTAGGAAAGAAAAAAGATGGGCTCCTTTTCCTGGGGACATTTGATTTATCTTGGCCTTGTCTGAGGAACACACTAATGAACAAATGATTAGTTCTAGGCGATGATTTCCTGATTTTCTCCACTTTGGCTTGCTAAGAAGTTCTCTTAATTGGAAGAAGGGGCATCTGGAAATACCTTTGTTTTTAATGACCAAAAGAGAACCAAGTTCCCTCCAGGCTACTCTTAAAACGTCTTGGTGCCATTTTCCGGTCCCTCTGGATGATGGACAGATTGGGAGCTGCTGCCACCCAGAGAGAGTCAGAGGCTTTCATAATCACAACAGCTGGACTGTTGAGGGGAAGAGGCAATCCCGGGAGACTCAAGTTTGTTTTTGCTAGAGGTGGCTGGCAGAGCAAAGCTGAAAGCAGTGAAGAAAAGTGTTCAGAGAGCAAGGGGTAAAGGATGTGAGATAAGTTTTCAAATGCAAGGAATGTTTGTTTAAGGAAAGCTGTGCTTAAACATGTGCGCCATAAAATGCATCTTTAAATTTCATATATTGGCAGTGTGCATGTACAGTGATTAGGGTTACAGCAGCAGGAAGTGAGGAATGCCTGAAAAAAACTAATCTGAAATAGCTGCCTGCTATGAATATATGTAACTTAGAGTTGAGCTGTAGGATTCTTGGTGCTCTGGTCTTCGTTGTTTTCTTGCACACATTTCATTACCTGACTAGTTAACACTCTCAGTGCTAGTGAGTGTGGGGTTTGCTTTTTGTTTCTGTACAGTAGCTTGTCCTTCCAGTGCTAGTGGGGGTGTGGTCTTCTTCTTGGTAGTTCCTTGATTAGGGTATTGTTTTCTGCTTAATACCCTAGGACCGTGATGGCGAATCTATGGCATTTGTGCTGGCACGCAAGCTGCAGGCAAACTTATCTCACTGTGCATGTGCACGTCTCACAGCTGATTTTTGGCCTGTTTGAGGCCTTTTTCGGCCTCCCAAAGGCTTGAGAAAGGCTTTCAGGAAAGCTTCTTCAAGCTTCTACAAGCTTTGTAGGCCAAAATCTAGCCCCGTTTCGTCACTTCTGGTTTTTTCGGAAAAAACGGAAGTGATGAAATGGGGATAGATTTTGGCCTACAAAGCTTGTAGAAGCCTGAAGAAGCCTTCCTCAAGCCTTTGGGAGGCCGAAAAAGGCCTCAAACCAGCCAAAAATCAGCTGTGAGGCGCAGTGCAGGTAAGGGGGCAGGGGTGGGTGGGATGGGATTGCACGTGCATGTGTAAGGGGTATGGGGTGGCACACATTGCCTTCTGGGTGCTGGCATGAGCGTGCAAGCACATGCACATTTTTTGGCACAGGAGCCCAGAAAGGTTAGCCACCACTGCCCTAAGAATACTCTAACAATGGGAATACTGTAACAATACTGTAAATTGAGGAATTACTAAGGAGACAAATAAATGAACAAACAAGCACAAAGCAATACCTTAATCAAGGAACTACCAAGGAGAAAACCACACCTCCAGCAAAACTGGCAGGTTATAGTATAGAAAGAGGGAGTGAACCCATACTCATGAATACTGATAGTGTTAACTAGTTGGGTAATGAGACATTTGCAAGCAAACAGCCAAGCTCAGAGAGCGCCAAGGATTCCCATTGCTGCTTACATAATCAGGAGTTGTTATCTAATGACTCTTTCCACCAGAGCAGTTAGAAAAATGCTTCTCAAACTTAGCAACTTTAAGATATGTGGACTTTACCTCCCAGAATTCCCCAGGCAGAATTCTGAGAGTTGAAATTCACATATCTTAAAATTGCCAGGTTTGAAAAACACTGGGTTAGAAAGAAAACAAGGAAAACAATTGTTCAGCAATAGAAGGAAAAGTTAAACTCACTTTTTTTGCACCAATCTCTGATTAACCTCATTCCTCTTTCTAGCAGCTGCTACTTGCATTTGCAGAAGGGTGCATTTAAATGCAAGAAGTCACTTTTCTTTTCGAACCTGGCATTTATGATCAGTGGCATACAAGGACTACAATTCCTTAGAAAAAAAATAAGGGACAACCCTGAAAAAGCGAAAAATCTGAAAGAGGTTCATAAAGATAGCAAAAATTGTTTATAATTTTGCTTCACAAATAGAAAATTCAAGAACAAAACCAAGAAAATAAATAACTAAATAAAGGATAGCTTTCTGAATTGTAGGACTGTCCTTTATAAGAAAGGACGTATGATAACTGTAGCTGATGCATTGAGTTAGATGTCCATGGTTTCAATAGAACTTACAAATCCTGCTTTAATTTAATATGGAAAAAGAAAGCCAAACCAACGGAGTAGGGCAAAAGAGGATATTATCTAACATGAAGCTGCCGGCTGTTCTCAGACTTGAGTAGAACATTTACAAGCCTGTCTTTAGTTCAAGAAACTCTGGAAACGAATGAAAAATTGATCCATCTAAAAAATCACATTTATTGCAACCCTGTCAAGTAGACGTGGGAGACTGACTACCCTAGGAGTATCCAGTGTTTCCTATGGCTCATTGGAGATTTCACTCTTATTCCCAATCCTCATACATTAATAACCTCAAATAAAACTCTGATTTTTCTGTAAAGTATGCTCCTGCTTTATTGTGCCCTTGCAGAGAAATCAAAGTCTCTTTGTAGTTTGGCAAGGCCAGGTCTAATCAAATAAAGTGAGGCTGACAATTAACTAACCTAAATTCTCCTGAGTGGGTGAGGGGCAGAAGAGCCATGAGATAAAAAAGATCTGATGGAAGAGGCATTAATTCTTCTAAAAGTGAAAAGGGCTGGCCACTTGCCAAGGAATAGCACAAAGACAGACTCTGCAATGCAGAGAACATGATATCCAAAACCCCACCGATCAATTGGAAGGAGATGTTCTATATTTTTTTAAGGTGGGATGGAAGCATGCTCAAAGTATTGGCATCCATGGTACCTCTCCCTTTGTTGCCTCTAAGAAGCAAGTTTTGTAGATGATGGAGATGGTCACAAGGTTTCTAACCTGGCTCAGTCATCAGAAGCAACCGAGACTGGAGAAATGTCTTATCAAGTCACAAATGATCCTAGAGTTTCTTCTATGGTTTTTTCCTCCATGGCTTCTTAATGATTATCTCTTTGTACTAAAGACAACTCTAACCTCCAAGGTCCCTTCCAACTCTGTTATTCTATTCTAACTGCTGTTGAAGGATGGTTTTGATCAGTATGCTTCTGCACCCTCAAGATTTAAGAGGAAATGGAAGTGAGAGATATTTATAAGGTGAATTATCATTCTGTCCCATTATGTCCTGATAGTAGCCAAGGTCAAGGATCCTTCTCTTAAGGATTCTCCTTCCTAAGTGCTCTAGCCCAGTCTTTCTCAGTCTCAATGACTTTAAGAAGTATGGACTTCAGCTTCCAGAATCCCCCAGCCAACCGGCTGATGCCAGCCTTTCCAAATAGACCAGACAGGACACACGATCAGATGAGTCCATTTTTTATTGTAAGACTACATTAACAGAATCTCATAATTCTGAATGTAGAAATCTCTGGCTGTTTCCTTTACAGGCTGAGAACTGAAAGTAACTTTTTCACCCTGTAAAAAGATGTTAAGACTCTAGAAAGAGTACAGAGAAGAGCAGCAAAGACGATTATGGGACTGGAGGC